GTTCGATTGGACAAGAAGTTGGGAGGTTTCTCACTCCAGAAGTATTCTTTTTATAAAACCAGTTTAGCAATTTGTTTCCTTTATGATTTTGGTAAAAACCGCATAGGTCAATTGTAGTCTTTTTGATGAAAGAAGCAACTTTTCCATTCGAGTTCGGAAGATCAATCGAATAACTAAAGTAAATAGATTCAAGTTTCACAAGGAGGGTTGCATTAAAACTGTAATAATATGTATAATTGTCAGACATTCTTAACAACTGCTCGAATTCCACGATGTATTCTTTGTGAGTTTCTTCCAATTTATCAATGACAAACTTTAAATTATTCTGTAAATATAAAAGGAAGAACTTTAGGATTATTTTTAAACAACGTAATATTTACCTTACTTGATCAGAATATTTAACCGCAACCAACATAAAGAACATGACCAAAAAAGCTTTCAAATTCATGGTTATTACCAACAAAGAGTTCACAACTGCGAGTGTCATGATATTTGATAGTCGCACAACTTAAATCGAAACGACTTAATTACCAAAATAAATTATCTGAAAATATAAAAATAATTTTTAAAAATGGTTTGTTCTGCTTTTAATTATGAGAATGATTGTAGCACGGATGTTTAAGCATTATATTAAAAGTGGGTAATGATTAATGAAGGTTGCGTAGAGGTAACGAGGTTGTTTAAGAGGTTTGAAAAGCATTTAATCTGATGTAACCTGATCTTATCTCTTTAAAATTTAAACATAGACTTTTATAGAGAGAATTTTTTGTCAACATTTATTTAACTCTTAGTAAATTCTTCTGCATTTCAAATAATAAATTCATTGCAATGGAGTAAATTTTTTAAAACTTTCAATTCATCGAAACTTTGAATAAAAACCTTACAGTGAAATGAAATGACAATAAGTTGAATTTAAATGCTTGAATCATAAAGACTTCACTTTGTTTTGCGTTTTGATTTCCTTTTCCCATTTCTCACGAATCTTGTTTTCTAATTGAAGTTTAATTTTAACAAAAGTTGCCATTTTTTCATTTATCTTCGTGCTGAGTTCAACTATAAAAAGAAATTTGGATTGTATTATTGAATACGCCGAAAAACCTTCAACTATCGCAAAATCCTTTAAGAAAATAGTTTGTGGCTCGATTGGACAAGAAGTTGGAAGATTTCTCTCGCCGGAAATATTTTTCTTATAAAACCAGTTCAGCAATTTGTTTCCGTTTTGATTTTTGAAATAATTACACAAATCAAATGTTGTCTTCTTGATAAAAGGAGCAACTTTCCCATTAGAATTCAGATAATCAATCGAATAGCTTATATATGATGAATTTAGTTTTACAAAAAGAGTTGAATCGACACTGTAATAATATGTAAAATTATCAGATATCCTGAGAGAATGTTTGAAGTCACAGATGTAGTCGTTATGAGTCTCTTCGATTTTCCCAATGACCAACTTTAAGTTTTTCTAAAAATATCGAAATCTTTGAAAAAAATAACAAATTGAGCAATTCAAGAACTTAACTGCTTGATCAGAATACCTAACGATGCTTAAAATTGAAAGTATAACCAGAAAAACTTTCAAGTGCATGATTGACACCATAACAGACTTCGCAGCTATGTCATGGAAATGATTTCACGATTTAAATCAAAACAACTTACATAATTTTTCTAAAATATTTTATCTCAAAAATGAAAAACAATCCTAAACATTTTCTGATACATTAGTTATCTGATGACATTTAATTATATTTTAATTTTTTACGATCATCGTTGAAATATTGAAATGTTGTAACTTTAGCATCAACCATAAATAATTATCAACTGCTGTTAAATAATTGGATTCTGATGGTTTTTTCAACAGAATTTCTGATAAAAATTAAAAGTCTGAAGACTTTAAGATAAAAATTAATTTTTCAGCATCTGTCACACTTTATTGTTCAAACATACAAACATCAAATCTATTTTAAATAAACTCATTACAATGCTGATGCAAAAGTCAATGACCTAGATGAATTTAAAATGTTTTTATTAAGATTTTACTTTGTTTAGCTTTTTTCTTTCCTTCTCCCATTTCTCACGAGACATGATAACTGCAAGAAATTTAAGTCTCGTTAAAATTACCATTTTTCCATTTATTTTCGTACTGAATTCGATTGTTATGAACAATTTCGATCGTGCAACTGCGTATGCCAAGAAACTTTCATCTATCGCCAAATCCTCTAAGGATATATTTCCTGGTTCGATTGGACAAGAAGTTGGGAGGTTTCTCACTCCAGAAGTATTCTTTTTATAAAACCAGTTTAGCAATTTGTTTCCTTTATGATTTTGGTAAAATTTGCATATGTCAATTGTAGCCTTCTTGATGAAAGGAACAATTTTTCCATTAGAATTTGGAAGATCAACTGAATAGCTGATGTAAACATTTTCAAGTTTTACAAGAATAGTTACATTGTAACTGTAACAATATGTATTATTATCAGACACCCTCAGAGAATGTTTAAAATCACAGAGGTAGTCATTATGAGTCTCTTCCACTTTTTCAACGACTAGCTTTAAATTGTTCTGCAAATATTAAAGAAAAATTTTGAAATGAAACAAATAAAACTCATTTCGTATTATTTTTAACTGTTTGATCAGAATATTTCACAACGCTCAAAATTAAAAGTTTGTTAAAAAAGGTTTTCAATTTCATGGTTGTTACCATCAAAACTTTACAACTTTGAATGACTTAATTTACCTTAAACTCTAATCTCAAATATGAGTAACAACTTAAAAATACTGGTACATCCATTATCCATTATAGATTGATGGATGAAATTATTAATTTATGAAAATGATGGTTGAAGGTTGGCTAAAGGTGATGAAGTTAAACGCTCAGATATATTTAAAAAATTCAGTTCTTCTATTTAAGCATGAGCAAAATTGTGGCAATATTTCTGCAATGGGATTTTGTGATTATTATCACAGAATTGATTCTCATTAATGATCCGATATTTTATTATTTCATTTCATTTATGGATACTGCAGATTTAAAGTTTTCTAGCAAAAATTTATTGATAATTGATTTTATACTGAAATCAACAAAACATTTTGAAAACTTCAATTGAAGCAACATCAAAGCCTTGATAAAAGCAATAATTAGTCAATCCAAATGCATAATTTTAGTAATTTATTCATAAGGTACATTAATGTGACTTTTCAAGTGATTTCTTTTTTTCTTTTTCATATTTTTCACGATCTTTTGATTCAGCGTAGATTGTAAAATTTATAAATTCTACAAGTTTCTCACCGACCTTCTTACTCAAAATTATTTTAATTAGATATTTTGATTCAAAAATTTTGAATGCCAATAACCTTTCATCGAGTTCAAAATTTTCAATGTAGTAGAAGCCTGACTCGACGGGACATGTAGTTGGAAATTTTCTTTTACTGAAGTTTTTGTTCCTGAGAATTGTGCGAACAACTGCATTCCCTTTAAGATTTTTGAAAGAACTGCAAATGTTGGTGGGGCCATTTTTGATAAAGGTTTCGTACTTTCCTTTTCCATTTAATAAATCTAATGAGAAGAAACAGAAAAAAGTGTCCAGTTTAGAAAGAAAAGTAGCGTTGGCACTTAAATAATAAGTATCATTGGGGAAAGCATCCAAAACATGTTTGAGATCAACGATGGAGTCATTGTAAGTAGCAACAACTTTATGAATGATGACTTTTGGAACCTGTGAAAAATCATTTCAATAAAATTATTAGATTAATGTAATTCAACGAAGTTTTCAATCGTAATTGATGTTTTGTATAATGTAATTTAACTAACCATTTGATAGCATGACTTTGATAACAATATAGTAACAAAAATGGTCATGATATGATAATTCATATTGTATTTAAAGTTTAAATAGTTATTGCTTTTAAAAATTCGAAGCACCACTGAGCATTGCACAGAAAGGAACGCTGAATTATATATGGAAATTCATAAAAGTTAAATTCAAAACTTTTAATTTTAGTAGATAAATAGATCCAGGATAATGATGATGATGATGATGATGATGATATCAAAGTTTGAAGAGGCATTATAATTTGAATGCTTATTCACAAACTGTATTTTTTTAAAAAATATTTAATTTCATAGATATGAAAAACTTAGTAAAAAAATTTAACAATTTCAAGACAAGATTTTGATTTGCTCAAATTTGCTTTCATTATTTTGGTAACTTATGACCAACTTTAATGCTTCATGAAGTTGCAGGAAAACTATTTCGTTATAAATTAGAATTAAATTTATTTCATATCTTTTTCTCCTTCTCATACATTTCACGATCTTTTAACTCAAAATAAAATTTTGCGTTAATAAAGCAAATCATTTTGTGATCAATCTTCGTACATGCTTCAATGTCTGCCATACCTTTTGTTTCTATGATTCTGAATTTCCAGAAATTATCGTCTAACATTAGATTTTTAACGAAATATAAACCTGGAAGGATTGGACAAGTTTCAGGGAATTTTCTTTCAGCATAATTGCTGTTGTAAAAATTTCTAAGAATTTTGTTTCCTCTCTGATTTTTATAAAAATGACACATATCAGAAACAACTTTTCTGAGGAAAGGCTCATAATTTCCATTCACATCAGCAAAGTTAATCAAAACTTGTATGTAGAAATTGTCGAGTTTCTGGAGTAAAGTTGCATTGAATCCAAAGGAATAGCTGTCATTCGAATAAATTTCTAACTGTGGATGAAAGTTGACTATAGACTCATTGTAAGTTACAACAAGTTTCTCAGCGAGCAACTTTAAACCCTATGCAAATTAATAATTATTTATTTAGTATCTTTATTTAATTACATCGCCACTCAACTGCTTGAAATGAGAATTTCACAAAGAACAAAATAAAAAAAGTCACCAAAATCAACTGCATGTTCATTTTAAAATAGAAAAATTTAGTCAATGATGAATAATGTCAAAAAGTTGTTTGCCAAACTCAAATTAAATGACATTTGATAAAAGCTTAGTGAAAGAATTAATTTGTCATAAAATGTCGTTTAATTCTAAAGTTATTTTCAGGTTCATTAATATTGTCGTCAAATGTCCAAACATTCCAATTGTTGATACTAATGACTTTCATGAAGTCTTTTCCTGAATACGAATGTATTAATTTAACACAGCTAAGTCCATTCCATACGTTTTTTTGTCACATAATAAACTCTTGTTTGCCATTGCAGAAACTAGTGGTTAGTGACTGAATTAGATTATGACGTGAGAACCCAAAACTGAACATAATCTTATCTCTCGGAAGGAATTACACCGAATTCTTTATTTATAAAATATAATAAAATTTTAATCAAGATTAAATGTGACTGATGACATCGATTTCTTATCGCCATTCCCATTTGCCTTAGAATAAAATGACAAAGTTATTAAATTATTATACAGCATGATGAAATTATGTTTATTGCTTTGAAAATATATTTTATGGTTAAACAAAGTAGAGATTAATATAAATAAATAATTAATTTCCTTTAATTTCGTTATTTTTTATATTCAACAGTTGATTAGATAATTTGTTATAAAAGCGCATGTTGTCAGTTTTATTTATCGAAAGAATAAGAATGAAGCTCCTGTTGGTACGGTTGGAATCTCATCTGAAAAGTTGGGAATATTAAATATCCAAATTTAATTGAGTTTCATTTTAAATTTTTACTTGGAACAGTTGGGACAACTGGAGGTGCAGTGGCGGGAACGTCTGTTGGTGGGTCTGTCGGTGCGTCTGTTGGTGGCACAGTCGGTGGTACAGTGGGGGGTTCTGTTGGTGGAACTGTTGGTGGAACTGTGGGTGGTTGCGTAGGTGGATCTGTGGGTGGTATAGTAGGCGGAAGTGTTGGAGGTGCTGTAGGGGGTGGAGGAACTGTAGGTATATCAATCGGTCCACAAACTACAGGAGGCGTACGGCAAGATGAGGATGGTGTGTCAAATTGCATAGGAGCTGGACATGGTGGCATTAGGAATCTGTAAATGATTTTTTTCTTACACTTTAACTAATCATTTCATTTTATTCAAAGTTTTTATCTCAAACCTTGAACCGAAATTGCACACGTAGAATAATGTACAGTCTGTATCGTGTGGAAGTCTTGTTGGTGGATTATTATCAAGTGGACAACGAGTATCTAGAACACCCTGGCTAGCCACAAATCCAATGAACGTTAGTAACACGAGCTTTTTCAACATTCTAATTTTTACTTTTCACCTTCAACACCAAAATGAAACTGACGTGAAAATTGAATAAAAACATCTTAAATACTTTTTTATTTGACGCACAAAATCTTCGCTTATCGAAAAGATCAGATAAAAGGTAAGACTTGATGATAAATTTTTTAGCGTCGTGACATTATCTTATCACTTTTTCCGGTTTTGTTTGAGAGAAGATTGACAGACTTGGAAAGTTATGAGAAAGAAAAAGTAAATTTGTGTTTCTATTTAATTATTTGCGGATAAATTTAGTGAATGAAAAATAGAAACGGTTAAGATAAGACAAATCAATCACATGTAACCCAAAACTTGAAACTCTTCAAGTGACAGCGAGAGATAAAGAAATTTCAATAAACGCTGCATAAACAACAAAAAAAATTCCAAACAGAAATTATCACAAAAATTCATTTCTTAATTAAGATTTTGATTTATTTTTTCTTTTCATTTCCCTTTCCCATTTCACACGATTTCTCATTGACAGTTGAAGTTTTACATTTACCACATCAATCATTTTGCTATTTATTTTTGTACTCATCGCTATATTAAAATAAATTTTAGTTTCTGCAAGTACATATGTCCATAAACTTTCATCAAAGGTGAAATTACGTATATAGTAAAATCCTGGTTCGACTGGACAAGACGATGGAAGATAATCGTCACTGGAATTATTTTTTTTATAAAACCACGACAGAAGTTTGTTTCCCTTTTTAGCTTTGTAAAATTTGCAAAGGTCAAGCGTAGTTTTCTTGATAAAAGGAGCAATTTTTCCATTCGAATTCGGAAGATCAACTGAATAACTTAAGAAGTAAGTGTCTAGTTTTTTAAGCACAGTATAGTTTTCATTATAATTATATGTAAAATTTTCAGAAAGATCCAGAGTGTACTTGAACTCAGAGAAAAATTCATTATAACTCACGACTACATTATCGATGACTAACTTTAGATCGTTCTGAAAAAATGAAAAGAATTTTAATGAAATTATCAAAACCTTATCAAAATTATTTACTTGAACAGAATACTTCATAGATGTCAAACTCAAAATTAATATAGGTAAAACTTTCATGGCTGTTACCGTCAATCACTTCCCAAATATGAATGTCAATCTGTGGTCATTGTCATAGAGTTTAAATCAAAACGACTTAATTTACAAAAAAATATTTTTAAAAAATGTGAACAATAATCTGATAGGCCAGATTAATAGACGAATAATTATTTACTATTTAGAAGAATGTGTTCTGAAGGTTACCCAAAAGGGGATGAAGTTAATGAAGATTATCACAAAGTCATTGAGTATTCATCAAAATGTATTGAAGTTTGACAGTGAATTATCTAGATTACTTTATGTATTGCATTCATATAAATAATTAAAATATTAAATACCTACTTTTTATATTAGATACTTCTAATTTTTAATTCTTCATCGATCTTGAAGTTTTTTGAAGGAATTACAAATGTTTGTTTAACAATAATTTTCCATTATGTATTCAGCAAAAAACTTGCTTATAAATATCTGAAACGAAACTAATCAGCAATAACGGGAACGTTAGATTTTACGCAACAGCTTAGATAAAAAATAAGAATCAGAAAAATTCAAATGTTTAAATTTTGGTTTAACTTCTTGAAAATGTTTTAAATTACTAAATAGATACTGAAGACAAAATCAATTTTACCAAAATTTCAGATTAAAAATCCTTGATGAATTAAAATTAATTTCTCTATTTATTAAATATTTGCTACGACTCAATTTTCTTTTGTCGCTTTCTTTCTCTTTCCAATTTGTCAAGAGTTTTAATTTCAAATTGAACTTTCAAACTGAATAAATCAACCATTTTTTCATTAATCTTTGTTGCTATACCGAATACCATAACAATTTTGGTTTCTGCTACTGCGTATGTCATCAATGTTTCACCAACAATGAAATCTTTGATGAAATAAAATCCTGGTTCGACTGGACATGACTCCATAATTCGTTTTTCGTTTGAGCTATTCCTCTTGAAAAACCGTTGCAATATTTTATTTCCTTTTAGCGCTTTAGAAAAGTTGCACATGTTCATTCCAGTTCTTTTGATAAACGGAACCATTTTTCCATTGGAATTAGGAAGATCAACCGAATAATGCAAATACGTCGAGTCTAATTTCACAAACAATGTCATGTTAACGCTGATATAATTTGTGAAATTTTGAGTAATTCTTAGAGAATGTTTGAAGTCAAGCATATACTCGTTATGAGTTTCTTCCACTTTGTTAACTCTTATTTTCAAGGGATTCTGTGAACAATAAAAAAAATTAATTACATTTAAGCCAACAGATTTCAAAAATTTTACTGCTTGGTCAGAACATTTGACGAAGATCAAAATTAAAACTGTAACCAGAAAAGTTTTCAATTTCATGGTTGTTGCTATGAAAGACTTCGCAACTATGAATGTCATGAAATTTTATGACATGATATAGATCAAAACGACTTAATTTACAAAAAACTATTTATCAGAAATGTTAAAAATAATCTAATAGGTATTTGCAGATTAATAGACCAACAACAAGGTAATACCTATGTATTTAAAAGAATGTGCTCTGAAGGTTACCTAAATGGAATGATAATTTTAAGTATTGCATTAATATAAATAATTAAAACAATAAATTTTTTACAGAGGGATCCAAATATATAATGATTTTAAAGAAAACAGAAAAAAA